AGAATCACTAAGTGGAGTTCTTAGTGGATTGTATGTTGTGCCGTCTCTGGGGAAAGCTGTTCTTCATCTCTTGTGGGTTTCAAGAGAGGTGTTTTCTTTACTTTGTATTTTCAATTGTAATATGTTTGTAACAACTTTGATTATAGTGACAGAGTTAATCCTCTATTTGAGTGATTAGCAACTGGACGTAGGGTCTTTTGATCCGAACCAGTATAAATCTCCTGTGTAAGATTCTATCTCTACTCTATTTACGTTTACAAAGCTTTTTAATCGGTAAAATTTGGGGAAAATTTTGAAAACCTAATTTTTGTTAAGAAACCAATTCACCCCCCCTCTTGGTTTTTGTCCGACCACGCGAACATTCCGCTGCGCGATTCTAACAAGTGGTATCAGAGCTTGTTTTGATAGTCATTCAAATTTTTCGAAAATGGCCGGACAAAATCAAACTTTTTCCGAAGGTGCGTCTATCAACAGACCCCCACTTTTTGCGGGTCAAAATTATCCTTTCTGGAAAGTAAGAATGCAAATCTTTTTAGAGTCTGTTGATAGAGGCGTTTGGGATGCTATTTTAAACGGTCCATATGTTCCTAAAGTTACTGAGAACAGTGTTGACGTTCCCAAGCCTTTTTCTAGATGGACAACAGAGGAAAACAGAAAAGCACAATTTGACGTTAGGGCTAGAAATATTATTTCATCTGCTTTAACCCTTGACGAGTTTTACAGGATCTCTGTTTGTAAAAGTGCTCGAGATGTGGGAAAAACTAAGAGTAACTTATGAAGGAACCGATGATAATGACGCAATTTCGGAATCAAGTGACTCAGAAATAGAAGCTAATATTTGCTTGTTGGCAAAAGACAATATATCTTCCGACTTTGAGGTTAGTGATTCCAACTCATCCTAAAGTGATGATGAAAATGATTTTGATGAATTACAAAATGCATATGAAGAATTGTTTAATGCTTTTAAGGACTTGAAAAATGAATACAAATCTGTGAAAAAGAGTTTGAATAGATCCGAAAAGGAGGTGGAGTCCTTAAAAACGAAAATTGTATGTTTAGAGGAAAAGGAGTCATTAAAAACGAAAATCACATGTTTAGAAGAAAAGGAATCCTTAGAAACGAAAATTGTATGTTTAGATGAGAATGATGATAAGAACTTAGCATGTGCAACTTGTAAAGAGTATGAATATGACATAGATATCCTTAACCATTTGCTAGATAAAGCCGAAAAGGAGATAAGTGATTTTAAGAAGCATAAAATTGTGTTAGCTCAAAATAGTGTAAATTATCAAGTTCCTTTGAAAAAGCCTAAAAGGAAAAATAAAAGAGTATGGGTAGAAAAAGGAACTAGAACATCTATGGTTAAAAATTCATCATATTCAAAAGTTACATCTAAAGCATGTTTTTATTGTATGAAACAAGGTCACACTTCAAATAAATGAAAAATAAAACATTTTGGTGTTCCTAAAGGTAAATACATTTGGGTTTCTATTGTTAAATAATTTGTTTGTCTCTAACCCCAAGGACCCAAAAGTTATGGGGACCTAAGTTTACTATGTTCTTGTTTTGTAGGAAACTTCCAAATCAAAGAAGTCTATGTGGTATCTTGATAGTGGATGCTCAAAGCATATGACCAGTGATAAAACGAAATTTGTGAGTTTCAAAGCTAAAGAACAAGGATATGTAACTTATGGGGACAACAACAAAGGGAAAATTCTTGGAATTGGAAATATAGGTGGTGCAAATACTTCTTGTTGATGGACTAAAGCATAACTGGCTTTTGTAATTACCTGGATTCTTGTAACCAGGGGAAGCAATCATGCTCAACTGACCTCTGAAGACATGTATATAATACATGTTCTTAAATCTAGGCTTCAAATTGATTGACGTGTTGTTGTTAGTGATAATATGAGAAAGTCATATAGACTACCTATGTATCTTTTACCTTACTCCATTTTTCTGTCAAGAGGATTTGACTATGTCGGAGTGAATGTAGATGGAGAGTCATTTACCATCCTGAGTCATGCAAATGAAATAGGAAAATCTGCACTTCACCACATGGGGATGGTGAAGAGAAATGATGGGTGGTTCTTCAAAGATGAAGAAGAATTTATGGATGAAGGAGTTGAACCTATTAGTGCAGATATTCCTACTTCCTCTACTATGAGTAATTTTTCTGCTTATGAACAGAGTATGTTAGAAAAATTAGATAACATACACATATAGAAAAGGGAGAATGATGAGTCCCTAGTTACCCCGAAGGCGAGAGAGGTCATTCCTAGGAGGATTACTAGAAGATGACTAGAAGGGAGACCTTCTCTTCACCTTCTATTTTGAATTTACTTAGTATTTTTACTTAGTATTTTCTTTTCCAAAGTTTTTCACTTATTTTCGCTTTCCTTTTGTAGGCTCACTTTTTGCACCTCTTTTTTAAGAATATCACCTTTTTTTGGTGGAAAAGAAGTCTTAGATCCATAGGATACATGCATAGGTAGCCCAAAGGTGTAGGACACTTCTTTTTCATGTTCTACACCCCTTTTTGAAGAGAAAGAAGCTTGGGATACAGGATTGGTAGGCTTGGGACAACCCAAAAGGAAGCACACCTCTTTTTTTTATGTTCTCCACACCTTTAGAGATATTTTTGGTGGACTAGGACGAATTTAACATATTTGGACCATGAGACTCTAGCTTTTAGGTTTAGGTTAAGTTTATTTCTCCTTTTGTAATTCCATTTAGGTCCCTCCCCCAAAAGCCTATAAATAGAGGTTTCCCTCATGTAATTAGATTGAACATTTATGACAAGTTTGTGAGGTTTCTTAAAGTGTTCCATCTCTTTGAGTGTCTTATCTTGAACCTTGGTTCAAGTGGCGGCAACCACCACTTATCTAGGGTGGTTCATCCCCTAGTAGCGTGCCAACACTATACCACAGTGATACTTCTTTTCTCTTCATCTTTTCTTCTTTATTTATTCACTCCATTTATTTATCCAAGGGGCTAATCCATTTTTCCATCCCTTATCTTTATTCTTTTCTAGTTTCATTTTATCTCTTCCTCCCTCCATAATCATTGGAAATGAACCTTACATCTAGATAGGCAACTATCTTAATATCTAGTAGGATTTTTCCTTGAATTTGCTTACTTTATTGCTTAAAATTTTGCAACTTATCTTCTTAAATTTTGCACCTTACTTTATTTTACATCAGAGAAGCATGAATTATATTGCTCCAAATTAGACAATTTTGATGAAAAAGTGTCTTCCATTTCATCCACACTGCAGCAGAAACAAGGTGGAACATAAATGAAAGATAGTGGTAGTGTTGATGAAGATGTTGGAATGGTATAACTCTCCTCAAATGATAATGAATAAGTGTTTTTTGTTTTCAGATTTTTTTTGTTTAATCCTTATTGTTGAGTAATTAGCATAATTTAATCTTTGGCATGTAATATTTTAACATAGCTAGCTAGATTGTAATCTAACATTATTTGAAATCCCTATTTTATGTTACATGTTAAATTTTTGTTTCATTTTTTATCTTTTATTTATTAAGTCCAAAGGAGAGAAGATTTGATTGTAGGTTTGCTAAAAAAATATTGGTTGGTCATCATAAAATATGGATAGATTGTTAATGAAGAATGAAGAATTAGTTTTGATGATGTCCTAATAGATATTTAGGTAGTTGTGTAAGTAGTTATTGTTAAAGCCAATTGATTTAATCCATGTCTAAAATAAATAAAAAAGGTAAGAAGATAATCAACTAATCAATTATATTAAAACTAAAGCAGTTAAATATGTAAAAATCGATTATATTAGCACTTAATCGATTATATGACTCAAATTCATGTTTGATATTATGCGTTAATAATCATTATATTGTCACTTAATCGATTATGTGACTACATTCCATTTTTAACACCATGCGCTGATAATTAATTATGTTGATACTTAATTAATTGTATTGCTTACTTTCCTTCTATCAATGCACACGTAAATAATCTATTAGATTATTTACTGATCGATTATCTGAATCAACTATAACTGATTTTAACTCTTTAAAAAAAACTTTCATCAATTAAATACATCTTGAGAAACAATCAAAGCATTAAAAGAAAGTTTTAGTGGGTATCAAAGTAATTTTTTAATCTATAAAACATCTTGAGAAAATCAAATCCAAGGATAAAATCATTTAGCTACAAGATTCTGTATTTGGTGCAATTCAAAGTTCAGGTGAATTCGTTCTTATCTTTTTCATTTTGTAAATCTTTGTTGTATTTTGATGACTATGACATGAGTACCATCAAGGCAGTTGGAAAATTGTGTAGTTAGTATGTTTGAAAATTATGTGATTAGTATTTGAGACTCTTATTAAAGGCAGTTTGAATATTGCGTGGTTAGTATTTTTCAAGTTTTGTGAATCTTATTATCCAAGTTTTGTTTGCTTGTTATTTTATAATCTAAATATTGAAAAGTTTTTCGTGAAAATTCAAGATTGAATAACTTGATGTAAATTAATTCCTGGGTTCTCGTCTTTCTCTTTTTTTTTTTTTTTTGTGTTCTTGAAATCTTAACACATTCTAAATTCTTTTTCAATTTGATCATTAAAAAAAATTCAATTAATTGATTAGATTTAAAAAAAAATTAAAAACTCAATTTTAGTCATTCTAGTTAGATTCATACTTTTTTCTTGTGCATATTCTTCAATGCGAATGTAGAAACTATTGATAGTTATTTCAAATTTAATTAGACCAAAAACTCATGAAGCTTACTTGCCCTGTTAATCCTTCTAGCAATCAGTTATTTATCACACAAGTTGAAATTTTAACGAGATTGATGAAATAAAAGTACACAATTGGCATATTTAGAAGATAATAAAAATTTATTTATGCTGAGTTGATATTGTTTTCAAAACAAAACTTATTCTACATAGTATATATAAAGTTCCTGAAAAGTGTGAGAGAATAAAAGGTCTCAACTCACAAAAATAAGAACTGCCACTTTATGGTTAAGCAGTTTCCGCATCTAAGCTAAGGAATTTCTTTATAATTCCCATCATTTCTCCCCCAGGGAAACGTCCCAGACATCCCCTTGCAGCTGCCACTTCGTTTAGCTCATAAACAGAATCACCACTGTAAGGTTGACAATGTTTGTCTCTTCTCTCCTTTGTTTCCAAATCATCAAGCAAGTCTTTACCAGACTTGACATTGGGAATGGGAAATGGATCAAGAGAGATTTGTCTAATAGTGGATTCCCCAATTGCACCAACAAAGTCTTTCAACCGACACATGGTGAACGGGACTGATTCAAAGCTATGATCACCATATTCTACTGGAGTAGAGTGATCTCCTGTGACACAAAGAAAAAACTGATATTTTCCAGATGATTCTGTTTCCCAGAGAAGCCTTGCCAGCTGCCCCACAGCGGTATCTACAGCTTCTAATGCTTTGACCTTGAGGATGCTCGCCTTGTCATGGCCAGCATCATCTATTGCCTACAATACCAAACGAAGTCTCATCACATAATCCAAAAAACTAGAAGCTTAGAACAGGATAAGAACAAGGAGAAATGAAGCAACAATAGTAAAAGATGGAAGATTTAATTCTGATATTGTATTGCTGTGTGATATAGTCTAAGAGTCTAGGAAATTATCAGGCTTTTCCATGTCAAGTTAAATTTTCCTGGATTCAACATCATTTTTTTGACAGTTTTAGTCTTCATCCTTCAATAGGGCAAGCAGCAGCACTAAACAAGAGGTATTTGTATGCAATACGCATCATATCTTTTACATTAGCCTAGAGATTTGATTATAATTAACACTTCTCAATTTCTGCATTGCAGCAGAAGGATGGTAGAAAACTCTCTATGAACTGGGATTCTGGAACAGATAGGAGGCAAATTGCTGAAAAGTAAAAGCTGATAATAAATCAAAAGTAGTAAATTTATGACCTTAATATGAAGAAATCCAAAGTCATAGCCATCTGGGCGGCCTGCTTTGAGCTCATCCTCTCCGGGTACAAACACCTTGGGGCTGGACTGCAAAGGAGCAGAGAGTGCCTTAGCTATTGTTGATGCTTTTGATGTTAGTAAAGTTCGATAGTCCCCAGTTGCTCCAGGAGCATCAAGTATATCAATTCCGAGTGATAAGCCGAGGCCAGCAATTATTTTCGTTGGAGCAACCATGCATGGCCACAAACCATGTTTACCTAAAAATGGTGTAACCTGTAACATACAATTTAAAGTGATAAATGAATACAACTAATACATGGACACACATTAGCATTTATAACGTGGATTGAAGCTCATCGTATTATAGTTTATTCTCATTGACTCAGACAGGATATAATTAACAGACCAACTGACATTTGACTTTTTATCCAAGTAAAAGTCACAGGATAGAACATCACACTCGCCTCCTTTAGAAAGTCAACATACAATAATAGAGGTAACTCAGCTGCAGAACATACAAGTTAATATTTGTATTTATTTTATTTTTAATAATTCTTTAATGATTGCTACTTAGTTGACCAGCTTTCCTTTAAAGTAGCAGAATATGTAAATGGATTATGATGGATCCCTGCTTTTCTTAAACATCACTTTAATGCTTGAAAGATAAATGAATCAACTATGAAATAAACTGAAAGAACAGACCTCAATTCGAATGCCACAACCTCTTAAAAGGACTACATTTGCTATGTTCTTCCCTTCTGCAACACGCCTAGCATTCACAGGATGAGAAACCAGAATTTTAGTTATTTCTTTGGACAATTCGTTAACAACAGCAGCAGTATTCCTTGCTTCATGAGAATCATCTAAAGCTTCTGCTTTCAAAAGTAAGCGGTTGTCCTTTAACGGGTCTGTTCCTGATATATTTCCACTCAAACTTGGTCCTTTAACAACTACTCCACATCTATGTTCTGTTGCATACCTAATAAAGGAATAGCCAAAACGAATAAAGTGATATAAGTAATTTCAGTAAGTTGTAATTGCTGAGTCAGCAATAGTTAGTTAGGCAGTTATAACTGCTGGGGTAAATAGTTATTAATAATAATTAGTTTGTAATAAAGAAAAGGAGGAAAAAAATAGAGATCTTCCCTCTTATTTCTTCTCTTCAGTTCAATAATACATCGGAATCTTTCAATTCTTGGGTTCCCTTTTCATATTCCAGTTCTTCGAAGAATTATCTTCCTAGTTCTAGAAAGAATCATAACAATTGGTATCAGCTTGTTCGATTCATTTCGGAGTTTTCCATGGCAGAAGCGACAAGAAATGCTCAGGCTCTGAAAGATATGGAGGAGCGTTTATCCGTTCGGTTCGATAATCGATTGGCTGAGCTTGCAGGGACAATGCAGCGATCTCTTGACGAATCTTTGAAGAAAACTATGGACGACCTCTTACTACAGCAATCACAAGGCTCTCCAGGGGTAAACCGTCATGACGGTCGCAATGCTGGTTTGTATTCTTGTGGTACCCGTCTTGCTCGCATTGATTTTCCACGATTTTATGGTGAAAATGTGAATCAGTGGGTGTACCAGTGTAATAATTTCTTCTTGATCGACAACACACCTGACCCCATTCGTGTTCAATTAGCAATAGTTCATTTAGAGGGTCGTGCTCTTCAATGGCACACGGCTTTATCTAAAACTGTCAATTGTTCTTCTATGTGTTGGGCGGATTATGCACAATTGGTAATTGCAAGATTTGGAGATGTATGGGAGGAGGTTGGCTGTAAACAATCTCATATGGGGTAGCCTTGGTGGCAGTGTGATAGGTGGTATTATACCACCACTCTGCCATGGGCAGCCATTTGCTCCACTGCTGAGGTGCGTCACAACACATACACCTCAAATATGTTTCAAGACACCTATTTACCACTTCCGATTGGAGATGTTTGTGATGACCCCATGGCTGAATTGATGAAGCTGAGGCAGAAATCATCAGTTGTTGAATATCATGAGGAATTTGACTCTATTATCACTCGTTTATCATTGTCTGAAAATTACACATTAAGTTGTTTTTTAGGCGGGTTGAAACAAGATATTCAAATGTTGGTAAGAATGTTTAATCCCACTTCGGTTCAGAGAGCCTTCCAATTAGCTCGAATGTATGAAGCCGCCAACGCCCCTACCAGCTTGAGCATTGTTAAGAATGTTCCCGGATCTTTTAACCATGCTGTGGTAGCCAAGAATCAGAAAGGACTGTTGGGGTCAAACCTATGGTTGTTCCTAAACCTATCTCTAATACAAGCTCTCAGAAGGAATCTGTGAATTCGAAGTTCAAGATTGGTAAAACCTTAACTCCAGCCTTTATGAGTGAAAGAAGAGCCAATGGATTGTGTTTTTTCTGTGATGAACCATACTCCTATGAGCATAGCTTAACTCACAAGAAGTTGCAGGTGCATGTGCTAGAAGTGCTTGAGGACAAGGAAACTATTGAGGAGCCTAGTGTGGCTGATGAGCTTTCGGTGGGGGATGATTTGCAAATTTCAGTCCATGAGTTATCGGGTATAGCTAATTTCAAAACCATGCGTGTTACTGGTCATTATCAAAAAAAATCCTGTTCATATTCTAATTGATAGTGGTAGTACGCATAACTTCTTAGATATTGGATTTGCTAAACGATATGGTTGCAAAATAGAGAATTTGGATCCTATTACTGCTACTGTGGCGGATGGGTACAAGCTTCCTATTTCCTCTATAGTCAGGAATTTTACATGGAGGTTGCAAAATACTATTTTTACTTCGGATATAATGCTTATTCCTTTGGGTGGTCATGATTTGGTGTTGGGCATTGAATGGTTGGTCACTTTGGGTGATATTGTGTGGAATTTTGATAAGTTGCAGATGGAATTCAAAACCAATGGCAAAAGACTTATTCTTAGAGGTTCTGCTCCAGGGGGAATAAAAATTATACGGAAACAACAGGTTGGGAGAGTTTTAGATGAGGGAGTCCATTTATCCATGATACATCTGTGTGAAGGGGGAGAGGGACTGTTGCAATCCCTCACTACTCATGCCAATCAACCTCAGCTATCTCCTAGGGTTGTTGATCTCTTGACTGAATTTGATGATGTATTTCAAGAACCTAAGTCTCTGCCTCCTTTCAGACCTGAACATGATCACAAGATTCCACTTGTGCAAGGCGCAAATCCTGTTAATAAGAGACCCTACAGATATGCTAAGCATCAGAAGGATGAAATAGATAAATTGGTAGAGGAATATTTGAGTAAGGGTGTAATTCAGAACAGTTGTAGCCCCTATGCAAGTCCTGTGGTGTTGGTTGGGAAGAAGGATGGTTCATGGAGGCTGTGTGTGGATTATAGGGAGCTGAACAAAAACACTGTGAAGAATAAATTTCCCATTCCTTTGGTGGATGACCTTTTAGATGAACTCCATGGATCTACAATTTTTTCTAAAATAGATTTGAGGTCTGGGTATAATCAGGTGAGAATGGCTCCTTACTGAAATACTATTTCAATTCTGAAATACTATTTCAATTTATTACTATTTATTTTTTTATCAATTTTTGATAAAAAATATTCACAAATGAAAGATGTGAATCAAATCAATTCAAAGTTGAAGAAAAGATGGAATATTTATTGATGAAATTATTCATTTCATCATAATCTGATAAAACCCTTCAAGAACTTATCAATCGGATGAGAATAAAGATAGAGTCCTATTCTACATGTCAATACCGACAACAATTAAATTTAAAGTAAGAAGAAAATCCGTCGACTTAAGAAATCATGAGGGTTCAAGTCCCTCTATCCCCAAAAGGCCTGTTTCATTTTCTAATTTTTTTCCTATATCCTCTCTATCTTTAAGTCGTTATTTATGTGTTTTATTCGATTTATTCTTTCCCAACGAAATTGGAATTTTTCTTTTTTATTTTCATAATTTTCTTATATATCATAATTCCAAGTCACAAGTTTTGGAATAAATATATATAGATATGTGAAACACATAGAATTTTTTTGAATGAGAAAGGTACAAATGAATATCTTATATTTGAGCAAGGAATTCTCATATGCGTAATTAACAACACAAAAAAATTATTACTACGCAAACTAACTTACAAACTTTGATTTTTCGTCTTTTTTTTTTACTTAGTTGATATAGATTCATTGACATATACTTCAATAATCTTTTAAAAGAAAAGTCTTAAGCTTCAAGAATGGTCGGGATAGCTCAGTTGGTAGAGCAGAGGACTGAAAATCCTCGTGTCACCAGTTCAAATCTGGTTCCTGGCACAAGATTAATTTGTATGAGTATCTATCCCCCATATTCATTTAAATGAATATGGGGGATAGATACTCATACAAATTTGTGCTCTTCTAGATTATCATACATAACATATTTCTTTTATCTATTTGGGTATCTGTAGATATACTTTTCCTAGATAATTAAAGAATAGATACATTTTTTTAGGTATATTCCCTTATCTATGTATCTATATATAGAGATAGATATATAGATAAATAATGAATTTTTTATCTATTTGTTTCCTTTTTTTCTGCGATACAAAAAAGAGGATTTCCATAATATTCGAATGGTTAAATTAGTTGGTTAAAAGACCTAAAAGTCGGAGTTCTGGGATGGAGTTAGAATATTCAAAATTCATCTTAGAAGGATTACCTAAGTAGAATCGAGCCCATTTCTTTGTGTTTTTTTTTATTTTATCTCTTTTGATATTACTTTTTTTTTCGTGGCCATATAATTGATATTGATGTGCATGTTACATAGTTTGTTATAAAGAATTTTTGCAGTTCATCCTATTTCTTTTATTGGCTTGGCTGATAAGAAATAAGTATTGTTATTCTTTTAGAATATTAAGGAACCCATATCCTATTTGAAACCCTATATTATTCTATTATTTATGAATTTTTGGATTTTTCACATACATAACAATATCTGAATGATACTTCCATTATTCTGTTTGATTTAATGTAAATCAATTACTTTGTCTGATCTATAAGAGAATGTACTGATATTCTTTGAATATCAGGGGTTGCAGAAGTTTGGATTAGTTTCTTATTTTTATCATTTAGTGAGCATCTTGTATTTCATAAAAATTTGGAGCGATATAATCTTTACGCAAAGGCCATCCTATCCAATTTTCGGGCATTAAAATACGTCTCAGACGCGGATGACTATCATAAGAGATTCCCAACATATCATAAGATTCCTTTTCTTGAAAATCCGCACTTTTCCAAACCCAAAAAATCGAAGGAATTCTGGGATTTTTTCTTGATACAAATATTTTTATGCATACCTCTTCGGGTTGATTTATACCATACTCTATTCTTGTAAGATGATATACACTAGCTAAGAGTCCTCCAGGTGCTACATCATAGGCACATTGGGAACGTAGATAATTGTAACCATATACATATAAAATGACAGCAATGGAATGTCAATCCTCGGGCTTTATTTGTAAAGTCTCTATTCCTCGGTAATCGAAACCCAAGGATCTATGAATTAGTCCATGTTTGTGTTGAACATTCAAGGACTTGATGTTGCATTTGATGAACATGAAGATTGTTGATTTTGATGATGATTCAATAACTCAAAGACTTAGAGTGTTGAAGACTTGTTTTTGTAGTGTAATAACTCTGTTTTAATTAGATTGAGTCTGTAATTATAGAGTTTGAGATAGCTGGTACATAGTCTGCAACTTAGAAGCTTCAAAAAGCCAAAATATATCATCCAGGCTCGGCTTTAATCGATTATATAGGGAAATAATCGATTAAAACAGTGAGAAAACCATTTTCAGTATATACTCACTGTTTTAATCGATTAAAACATCAAAATAATCGATTATTAGGTCAAATAATCGATTAAAACTTCAAATAATCGATTAAAACAGAGAGGTTTTGGGTTCTGTTTTTTGGCTCCGTTTTAATCGATT